GGTGATTGAAACAGGATGGTATCAATGTGATATAGAAAGGACTAGGATCGTAAGTAGGAAGAAGTCATTCATTCTGGATATGTTTTAATACCAAGACAAGATAATTTGCATAGAATATGGATTTATTGTGTGAATAGAGTCAAAAAGTATTAATATTTTTGGTCTGAACTAATGGGTGAATGGCAATGCTATTAACTAAAATAGAGAAAACGGAAGGATGAAAGATGTGAAAGGAAAATCAGTCCTTAAAATTGAGAAAGAGGAGGCGTGAGTAGGAGAGAATAAAATAGGAGACCAAGGAGGTAGGAAGAAAACAAAGAAAGGATGCTATTACAAAATACAATTGAAGAAAGCATTTCAAGGAAAGAATGTTAAACTGAAATGTTAACAGACCAAATAAGATGAAAACTGAAAACCTTAAGATGTAACAATATGAAGACTACTGGTGACACTGACATGAGCCATTTGAAGGATACAAGCCTGGGGGCGCCTGGGTGGCTCAGTCGGTTAAGCGGCCAACTTCGGCTCAGGTCATGATCTCGCGGTCTGTGAGTTCAAGCCCCGCGTCAGGCTCTGTGCTGACAGCTCAGAGCCTGGAGCCTGTTTCAGATTCTGTGTCTCCCTCTCTCTGACCCTCCCCCGTTCCTGCTCTGTCTCCCTCTGTCTCAAAAATAAATAAACGTTAAAATAAATAAATAAATAAATAAATAAATAAATAAATAAGCAAGCCTGATTGGGATAGGAATGGATCTAAGACTAAATAGGATTCCAGGAATATAAAGATGGTTTAACATTTGAAAAGTAATTAATATAATTCACTAAGAAATAATTGAAGAAACATCTTAATTTTCTCAAATAATGCAGAAAAACATTTGGTAAAATTCACCTGTTTATGATAAGGAAAACTTCTCAGCAAACTTATAGTGGACAGTTTCTTAATTTGATTTAAAAATCGACTAGGGGTGCCCAGGTGGCTTAGCCAGTTAAGCATCCGACTCTTAATTTCAGCTCAGGTCATGATCTCGCGGTTCAGGAGATCAAACTGTCAGTGTGGAACCTACTTGGGATTCTCTCTCCCTCTCACTCTGCTCCTCTCTCACTTGCATGTGCTCTTTCTCTTTCTCTCAAAATAAATAAACATTCTTTAAAAAATAAATTAAAATCTACTGAAAGTAATCTACAGCATATACCATACTTAGTGGCTAATTATTGAAAGCTTTGCACATGAGCTCTGGAATAAGATAGGGATGCTCACTATTACAACTTCTGTTTGGCACTATACTGTAAGTCTTAGTACAATATCAAGGGGAAAAATACAAAAAGAATAAGTATTAGGAAAATATAAAATTTTCTACAAGTAAATGTTTCTGAAAAATTGACAAACTACGAGAATTAGAGGAGTAGCAAGACGTATATAAAAGGTCAACATGAACATCAATTATATTTCTATATGTCAGTGATAAAAAAAAACTTACATTTGAAAAACCTCAAGAATCTAGGAATAAATTTAGCAAAAAGACAGTGTTTTCTACCACAATTCTACCAAAGAGTCCTAAGTAAATAGAAGCATGCACCAAATGTATGAATTGGAAGGTTTAATATAACACAATGAAACACAATGAAAATCCTAGCATTTTTCTGGTGGAAATTAACAAACTGATATAGATGTTAATGCAAATACCCTTGAATAGCCAAAACAATCTTGAAGATTCTTTCCAAAATGGGATAATCATAAAAGAAAATGAAATGGTGACCTATATTAAAATTAAGGACATTTATTCATCAAAAAGTATCAAGAGAGGATGCGCCTGGGTGGCTGAGTCGGTTAAGCGTCCAACTGTGGCTCAGGTCATGATCTTGCGGTTTTTGAGTTCAAGCCCCGCTTCGGCCTCTGTGCTGACAGCTCAGAGCCTGGAGCCTGCCTCCAATTCTGTGTCTCCCTCTCTCTCTGCCCCTCCCCTGTTCATACTCTGTCTCTTAATAATAAATAAACGTTAAAAAAAATTAAAAATATCAAGAGAGTGAAAAATCAGGCTACAGAGGAAGTGATATTCAGAATGCATCTCCAACAAAGGTCTCAAATACAGGATATAAACAGAATTTCCACAAATCAGTAAAAAAAATGATAGACAATTCATATGAAAAAGGATAAACACTTCGAACAGGTATTTAATAAGAGTGGATAACTAAAAGACAGTAAGTGTACAAAAATGCTCAATTTAATTTGTCATCAGGGGAATGCAAATTAAAACATAATGTGATCTACAGAATGTAAGACTATCTTTGCAAGTCACATATCTAATGAAGATTAGTGTACAGAATAATAAAAAAAATTGCTACAATTCAATAATGAAAATACCATATTTTTTTTAATGGGCAAAGTTCTAAATAGACATTTTCCTAAGGAAAACATACAAATAGCCAATAAGCACATGAAAAGATACTCAACATGATTAGACAACACAGAAATGCAAATAAAAAATGACATGCCATTTCACACTCACTAGGATGGCTAGAATAAAAAAGACAATTAACAAATGTTGGCAAGGATGTGAAAAACTGGAAACCGCACATACTGTGGATGAAATGAAATTTTCCACTTTGGAAAACAGGCTGGCAGTTTCTCAAGTGGTTACACACAGAATTATGATAGTATCCATCAAATCAATTCATAGGTAAGTATCTACGTAAGAGAAATAAAAACATATGTCCACACAAAAACTTGTACATGAAAGTTCATAGCAGCATTAGTCATAACATCCAAAAGATGGAAAAAACACAAAAGTCTATTGACATCTGAATAGATAGATAAATGTGTTGTATGCATACAATGGAATATTATTCAGCCAAAAAAGAAATGAAGTACTGATATATGCTACAACATGGATGAAATCTTGTACACATGACAATAAGTGAAATAAACAGGATACAAAAAGACCAACACTGTATGATTCCACTTACATGGAACATCTAGAATACACAAAATCATAGAAATAAGAAGTAAATTACAGGTTGCCTAGGAGTGGGGATCTTGGAGGGAAATTGGGGAAATTGGCAAAGGACATGAATAAGTACTCCATCAGTGAGAAAAAGTGGATGTGCAATAAATATATATGAAAATATGTCATATCTTATTCAAAATTTCAAAAAATGCAAATTAAAACCATAACGAGATAATATTTTCTACCTAAGCTGACAATATAATTTTAAGGTTATTAACTCTGAAAAGGAGGAAGAACTGAATATGTCTTTTATTTTGATTTAAAGTTTTCTCATTGAATTTCTAATTTTTAAATTTTTTTTTAAGATCTACTTTTAAGGACTCTCTATACCCAGCATGAAGTTTGAACCTAGAACCCCCAGATCAAGAATTATGCTTCACCAACTGAGCCAGCCAGGTGCTCCAATGAATTTCTAATTTTAAGCTAAGTTTTATGTGTAAGAAAAAAAATGCTCACTTTAGAATTATTTTGATAACCTCACAGCAGATGGATGAAAAATATATTCAAGGGATAGATCCTGGTAGTGATCTTGTCCGTACACAGTAATGGCACATTACATTCATAATATCTAATTTGTATAAGATATAATTTAATATAAATCTTCTAAAAAATTCTTAATAATCTAGATGTAAAAAATAGTTTTCCATCAAACCAAACACCTCAATGAAAATCTTAATGTTTCTGAAAAAATTATTTCATTAAAGAAATGCTACAAATGATCAATCTACTTAATAACCTACTACTTCGCCAATCACCAATCCTTCAAGAAAGAATATTTGTTTTAAAACAAAGACAAGTTACAAGGATTTCAAAGGTAGAACAATCTGAGTTGAAAAAACTATTTCCAAAAGTCTTCTCAATTTTATTTCCAAATGGAAAAATAAGTTTATCCCTCTTATTCAAGGCCTCACCTCTTTATTTCTCAAATAGTTCCATTTTCAGAGCAACTGAATGCTAAAGAGTTAAATGATAAAAATAGGTTTGAGGGGCGCCTGGGTGGCGCAGTCGGTTAAGCGTCCGACTTCAGCCAGGTCACGATCTCGCGGTCCGTGAGTTCGAGCCCCGCGTCGGGCTCTGGGCTGATGGCTCAGAGCCTGGAGCCTGTTTCCAATTCTGTGTCTCCCTCTCTCTCTGCCCCTCCCCCGTTCGTGCTCTGTCTCTCTCTGTCCCAAAAATAAATAAACGTTGAAAAAAAAATTTTTAAATAAAAAAAAAAATAGGTTTGAGAGAGCTAATGAGGGTGGCAGGTATTTCCTTAGGCAAAAAAAAAAAAAAAAAAGTCAATACGCCATCACTTTTATTCATGACTTCCCATGTTAGTTTTTAAAAGAAACTGCATGATACAACTAAACTCTTATGAGCCCATAATAGAAATCCAGCATTCATTACCAGAATAGTACAACTGTGACTAAAGCAAAGGTTATAAGAAAACCAAGACATAAATGACACAAAATGGGAAATATTAAACCCATCTAACTTGTATTGTTTATATTATGTAGTGATTACAGAAAAGCCACCTTAAATATTCAGATATATTAAAAGCAGAGACAAATCACAAAGTATTTTTGCTTATTACAAAACAAAGATTTTTTTTACCTTATATAATTGGAAAATAAAGCAAAACCAAGAAATCCATTTAAAATTAAATTGATAAAGCTTCTAAGAAACTTAGTTTGAATGTAAGGATAGTAAAGAAACAACTAGAAAAAAGAGTTAAGGGGAAAAACTTGTAACTTTGACTAAAGGTAGAGGAAAAAAATTTTCTTTAGTTTCTGTCTTCACTCAAAATCCCTTAATTATATAGATTTCTAGCATCCAATTTAGTTCAATGTCTATACTTAAGTCCAAATGCAAAATATAAAAGTAAATATTTGTGAATTAGCTAACAACAATGAACAGTTAATGAAAAGAGAAACTATAGAAAAAAATATAATTCAGGATTGTCAGTTGTTCAGCTGTATATACTACACAATAAAACCATCAACACACAGCACTTACCTTTTCAAGTAAGTAGCCAATGACTAAAAAGCCTTTTCCACCCAGCATCTGTTCTTGCATGGCTACTGAACTTTTAAGTAGTTCAACCAGGAATGCCAAAAGAGTAGCACTGCATGTAAAGTACAGATAATTACATTATGTAATCATCAAATGTTGATTATAAACATATGACAAAAGGTAACAAGCATATTCAATTCTAATCTCTAGTTTGCCGACAACGATTATTACACCTTATGCTGTACAAGAATATATTTTTCTCACAAGCATGAGGAAACTTGTTTCATCTCTTTAAAATTAAATATAAATCAAAACATAACTGCATAGTTTTTTTATATTCCAAAGCCAAACACCGAAGTTTATCTATACATATGTATATTATCTGCTTCAAGTAAATCTACCATAAGAAACATACCCACAAACACATCAGTTCTCCATAATGAAGACTTTATCATAATAGTTTTAAAGAACATGTTATCACAGAGAATTTTAAATGTGTATGCAATATTACTTTTGAGAACACACCTATTTTTAAAGAAAACTTTTCATTTAGACCTATTTTTTAAAAATAACTTCTAATTTTTTAGAAAATATCCAGAGAAATATGCAAGATGTTTTTTATGTTCATATATGCCTTCAGGAAAGCTCATGAGAGCAGAAAACAAATGATCTGTATAGTATTGAAATGAAAGTGGCAGTTAATTATACAATGTATACACAAACACATAAAAGCACACAAAGAGAAGTGCCAGACAAAGATAAAGCACTTGTTATGTCTGTTGAATGAAGGAAGAAACAAAATAAATAAATAAATAAATAAATGATTGCACTGAATTAAGCTTTGATAATATATTATTTCACCAAGTTACACACTGAACAATTTTCAACTAGCAGCATTAATACATGATGGCAATCCTAATTAAGAAAATATATATTCCTTCATTGTATATGCTTCCTGTAGTTTATAACAATAAATGACAAGCCAAACTTCATCAGCAATTAAAATTCCTATTTACAATGCTATATAAGGTACCCTAATTTGCCTATTTATATTCATAAGAAAGAGTGAGACCACAAATTAATAAATATATTTTAAATTCACAAGTACTCATTCCTACAAGGAATTAAGAAAATCTGTTAATGAGGAAAACTTGAAAATAACTAAGGTCCAAAAGGAATCTAAAGTGATTCCATTCTCTCAACTTATGCTAACCCTTCTGGTTTCAATAGTATTGACAACACATTTCTCTGAAAATGTGGATATTCTTGTTCAATTCAGAAATATTCTCATTAAAAGAATCAATTGCATATTATCATTATTATTATAAAGACTGTAGTTTAATGGATTATATGACATCAGCTAGAAAAAATATAGTGTAACTGGAAATAAGGTACTCATTACAGGAAATTAAAATTCAAACACATTAATTGGCCCTAATTCTTTTAACCACACAAAAAAAGTAAACTAGTATTACAAGTCAACATAATTCTTTCACTTTGACCTAAAGTTAGACATTTGCAAGAAAAACACAACCACCAACGAATCTCTTGGAATTTTTTTTAATGTTTCTGTAAAGAAAAACAGCTATTAAGCAATCTAGTCCATTTTGAATGAATTGTATGAATAATAAAAGCCACTACACAAATAACTGCATAGTACCACTGCACAAAAATACTTCTGCCTAAATGGTTGAGAAGAATAAAGAAATCAGTGCATAGAGATCACACAATTTCCTAATCTTTTCATGGAATTCTTGTCTACACCTGAGTTAGGGACTTAAGGAGAAAGATGACTAACATTCCTAAACATCAGCACTGCCAAAAAGAGAGACTGGATTGTCTATGGTCCCTATGGTCCATGAAAAAAATGCAAAATAAATCACTCTCCTATGTAAAACTATATAAAATTACAACAATGCCAGGGATTTTCTTGCTCTTTTTATGTCAGAAGGACTACTCTTTCTCAAACATCTAATGAATAAATGCAGACTTCTAATCACAGTGGAATTCCATTGCAAAATCAGAAATATTAATTTTATTCCAAAAATCTTAACACGTATCTATGCTACCCATATAAAGTTAATTTCACTTCAGTTTTAAGTACGACAACAATTGAAAAGTCAAATGCATTCACTAACAAAAGTATTGTAAATTTATACCTAAAACTGAATGCAATAGCAATACTACATCTTTTCAAAAAAAAAAAAAATCTTTAAAATAGGTATATTTGACATGGTGGATGTAATAGTAAATAGATGGCCATCTTCGAAGAGGTACATTTTCAAACATAATTTAACAAACTTACCAGTAACTAAAATGCATCGGATTGCTGCAGGGCTCACAATAAACTTGCAAAATTCTGTGTACTGCCATACAAAATTTCTCTCCATTCTTGCCTATTTCCAACTCCCCTAGATACAAAGGCAAATATAAAGGATACTTCAGCCCATTCCTATATCTCCTACATACCACTTCCTGTCTAGACATATCAGTTCATCTGTAGAGGATCTAAGTATATAGGATAACCAAAAAGCAAGTATCTGTGTCAGCCAAAACTAGTATACACAACATAGAAGTTTCTCTTGAAAAGTATAGCAATACCCAAAAATGGATTTCCATAGGAATATTTTACTTAATAGACAGAAAGTGTTCTTTTATATCTTAAAGTATTTTGCTAAACTTTTCAACAGATAGTACTATAACATATCATGTTCTTTTAAGTAGCAATTCTACTTTAGGAATAGTTAAGGGTGTTTAATAATCCTGCCTCCTTTTAAGGAAAATGACACTAAATAATCTATAGGGTTATTCTTAAAAATAATTAACACCTTCCAGTTCTTAATAAGCTTCCAATAAATTAGAAAATAATATTTATTTCAAGTAACATACTTATAAAGGGCTAGACCTTATGAAAATGAAGAAAATAGTATAATAATACCACTATGACAGCATATTTATTATCTCTCTAGAGCTTTCTGGTCCATATTATTAAGGAATACCACAGTCTTGGCCCACAAATACCTGAGAATATTTAATAACTGTGTATGAACATGACTAATTTCTGTTACTAATGATAAATATGTACTATATTTAGGTTCCATTGAAATTTATATAAATATAGATTTTGACTTGATTTTAATATAACTTTATCCATTTCAATTTGTCCATTATTTATCTTTTAAAGTAATTAATGTAGGCAATTTATAATCCTAAAAGTTTTATTATCTTTGAGGTTTTTGATTATTTAAAGATATACTGTATCATTAAGACAGACCTAATGTATAACTGAAATGATTGAGACTGAATATGAAACCTCAGTTCAAAGGCAGTTCTTAGGACACAGAAACTGTCTTTTCAATCTGTTTTGTACTGAAACAAGCAAAGTACCTCAGCTACATGAACTGTTTAAATATATTAAGAAGAATGGAATTCATAATGTAAAAAATTAAAGATTCCCTGGGATCCAACACATCCTGCCCTTTTAAAAGGATGTTTTTAATATCTTAAGAAACACTACAGACAAAGTAATTGCCAGAATAAATTTAGAAGTAGATTACATTCCATTAAGATTAAGGTACCAGTAAGGGGAGAAAACCTTTTGACTTTTTCATAAGGTTTCGTCTTTTTTGTAGCCAAATTTGGTATTGAGATACACTGAAATCTTGCAAACAATGATTAAAATTATATAAAATATCTAATACCACTGTTTCTATGCTGTATCTCTGACTAGAAAACTCTTCTGAGATAAGAGTGATCAGAGCAGGAACAAAACTGTAAAAGAAACTCAAGTCCATACCCAAGATAATTTCTCACTCAACACAATTAATTTCAGTGACACCCATACACAAAAAAATCTCACAAAAGTTAGAAGAGTTAAATTTCTTCACAGTTCACAACTGGAAAGGTCTAAACCAAAGTTTCTAATTCCATATCCATTTGACAGTCACGTTTAAGACAATGTGTTCCTAAAGATGTGGTCTTAAAAGAACACTGCCTACCTGCCTATATAGGCAATAAACCTGATACAGAAAACTGTCACATTCATCAATTCAGACATCAAGTGGAGATACATGCTGAAATAAGTAAAATACATTTATCTGCAGAGTCAAATAAGGAAAACAGTGAAATGCAGCACAGGAAAATGTAAGGACAGATGGAATATACTGGTAGCACAGGAAATCACTAAGCCTGCCTACAGTCATGAAATCTCTCAGTAATTTCCACCTTTTCTTTCAGCCTGATAAGGAGACAGGCAGCCTCATAAACTGAATTGGCTACCCCTGTCAAGGCTATTTGAGAGTATTCTTTAAAGGTCCTATTTTATCTTTTTATTTTATTTTTATTATTTTTAATTTTAAGTTTATTTATTTATTTATTTTGAGAGAGAGAGAGAAAGAGAGAGAACACACATGCACACAAGCAGAGGAGAGGCAGGCAGAGAGAGAGAGAGAGAGAGAGAGAGAGAGAGAGAGAGAGAGAGAGAGAGAGAGAGAGAGAGAGAGAGAGAGAATGAATCCCAAGCAAGCCCCGCACAGTCAGCGTGGTGCTCGACATGGGGCCTGAACTCAGCAACGATGAGATCACGACCTGAGCTGAAACCTAGAGTCAGACACTTAACTGACTGAGCCACCCAGGGGCCCCTAAAGGTCCTATTTTAAAGTTCATCAGGGAATCACACATTTTTACCTTCCTTTGGTAACAGATTTTGATTTTATGTTTCATCAACCTATTTTATTTCTGAAAAATGTTATAGCCAAAAAGTCAAAGTTCATAAAATTGTGATTGAAATGTCTCAAAATCTGTCTTCTATAGGAAACAAAATTTTAACATGTTTAATTCTAAAGGAATTAATTCTAAGCCTCTTATGACATAGTTATATGTTCATATATAGTACCTACCAGTATTTACATAGTTTGAGAACAAAACAGCCTTTGACCAGCTCCACTCATAACTCCATATTCAGCCAAAAGATATTTACTAAAAAGGGTCTCAAAGCCTACTAATTTAATCCCAATTGAAAAATGACCACTTACAATACTTTAAACATCCATGTCCCTTTATGAAAATTTAGTAGACAAGTTACAAGTGGCAGTTACTAGTAACCATGTACAA